TCAGCTACAGTATGAGCTTTGAGAGGCTAAAATCCCTGCCTGTCATATTCAGCACTGTGTCTTCAGCATAGGTATTGCAGTCCCATGATAAATATTTGCTGAATGAATGAAAAAAATGTCTTCTTCACTTGACTATGAGCTACTTGAGAGGACTGGCTACACAGTTCCTGGGTTTTTTTTTCTCTTTTTTCCTTTTTTGAGACAGGGTCTCTGTCGGCCAGGCTGGAGTGCAGTGGTATGATCTCAGCTCACTGCATTCTCCATCTCCAGGGCTCAAGCGATCCTCCCACCTCAGCCTTTTAAGTAGCTGGGACCACCAGTGTGTACCAACATGCCTGGCTAATTTTTGTGTCTTTTTTACAGATCAAGTTTTACCGTGTTTCCCAGGGTGGTCTCGAACTCTTGGACTCAAGCAGCCCACCCACCTCAGCCTCCCAAAGTGTTGGGATTATAGGTGTGAGCCACAGCACCTGGCCCTGAGTTTTTGTTTTTTGTTTTTTTTTTAGTTAAATTGAATTAAAATGCATAGGAGAAATACGTAACCAAACCTGGGAAACCAGAGAGACTTCCCAGAGGAGATGATGCCTGAGAGCTCGAAAGGATGAGAAAGTTATCTAGGTAGAAGGAATGTGGAAGTGGAAGGCATTTCAGGCTAGAGCAGAGGTCAAGTTGGAAGTGTGGTATGTTCTAGAAACTGCTAGTCATTTGGCTGCAATTTAGGGTTCATGAAGGACAGTGGCTATGGGAGGAGGCCAGGTCATTTATTTGTCTGTTCATTAACGGATCTGGTAGACACTGATAGGTACAGTGTGCTGAATCCTAAAGGTGGGAGATGCACTGGACAACCCTTGCTCTTGAGGAGTTTGTGAATTATCTAGAAGCTGCTTTATCTTAGATGGAGAGCCTTTGAGGAGTTTAATAAGGGATGGTCGGGGGGATTTATAAGATATATATTCTAGAACACCTAGGACAGTGTATCTCAAATTATCTGTGTTGAAGGACAGTTTTCTATTTTATTTCCAATCCATCAGAGACTGATAAAAATAATAACATTATAAAGACATATACAAGTCCATGTTTCTTCATATTAGGTTCAACAGCACAGCATACAACTACTGTAAAATTGTTATGTAAGTTTTTCAGTGTCTGCTCTCAGTTTCCACCCTTATCATAGACCAGAGATAACTGTAAACAGCACTGGTTTGCAGACTGTCCTTTAAGTAGCACTGCTCAAAGAGATCACGTCTTAGCTGTAGATGGAGAATTGATTGGAGGAGGATTGAATGAAGGCAGAGCTCAGCAGGGAGGCTGTTTCTCTGATGCAGGCAAGTGACAGTGGTAAGCTGGACTGGGAAGTGGCAACGGAGACAAATTTTGGAGGTAAAAGCCACAGATTTGGTGAAGGGGAGAAGTCAAGGGGAAAGGAAGGAATTAAAGATGCTGCCCAGGTTTCTGGCTTGAGCAGCTGTATTGGGTGATGGTGATAGTGACTGAAATCTGGACTGGAGAAGATAATGTTTGAGGGAGGACCATGAGTTCAGTTCTGAGCTAAGTCTGAGGTGCATGGAAGACTCCAGTAGGAGATATCCAAAAGGCGACCAGTTTTGGAGCTGGCTGTGGTCTTTAACTGAGAAGAGAGAGTTCCCTGAGTTAGTTTAGCATTGACTCCATCCTTGGGTCTCTGACAGACCCAGCTGGTGGTAGTGCTGTTTGTCTCTGGGGGAGGACTGTAAGACTGGTAGTGTGGGAGAAGGGAGGAAGGGGCATTGGCAGGGCTGCATATGTTGGGAGTAGGATTCAGGCCCACTTCCATATTCTGTAGACCTGACCTTGGCAAACTCTGGGGAGCGACAAGTCCCACTGTTCCCACTGGGTGGCAGTAGTGCTTCAGACAAGAGTTGTAGGGACTAGGGGTGCTGGGCCTTTCTCCAGGTATTTAGCCATCTGTCTTGCTTCAGAGTTGATCTTTTGACTCCACAGAAACACTTACATGTGGGCCCCTCACCTTACCATGGGGGCAGGAGTGTCTGTCCCATTACTGAGGCTCTAGAGCTGAAGACATAGTGAAGTTGCTCCTGGAATAAATCAGAGGCAGGCTGCAGTCCCAAACCCTGCCATGGCCTCTAATCAAGCAGACAGGTTCTTTTCTCACTCCGTGCTGAAGGGGCACACGCCCAGGGGCTGGCAACAAACAGGAGAAGCTGTGGTCACAGGGGGCTGGAGCCTGTTGGACATGACATGATGTGGGCATGCCCCTACTGTGTCCCTCTGTGCCAGTAGACTGTGCAGGTACCTGTGTACTCAGAGCAGGAGTACCAGCTTTATCTCCATGATGATGCTTGGACTAAGGCAGAAACTGACCACCTCTTTGACCTCAGCCGCCGCTTTGACCTGCGTTTTGTTGTTATCCATGACCGGTATGACCACCAGCAGTTCAAGGTGAGCCACTGTGCATTTGCATGTGTGCCCAGCTCCTGGGTCTAGCAGGCCCTACTTTTATGCATCCCTTCCACATGCCCCTGAATGTTTATTCCTCCACCCTGTCTTGCTCCTCAGAAGCGTTCTGTGGAAGACTTGAAGGAACGGTACTACCACATCTGTGCTAAGCTTGCCAATGTGCGGGCTGTGCCAGGCACAGACCTTAAGATACCAGTATTTGATGCTGGGCATGAACGACGACGGAAGGAACAGCTCGAGCGGCTATACAACCGGACCCCAGAGCAGGTTAGCCCAAGGCCACATACCTGTGCTTCATGCCCCAAACTCCTTGCCCATTCCCTCTATCCTCCGCAGCTCTCACCTCCCACTCGCAGGTCCCTGTGCCTCCCACCGATACCCTATTATCTGCCCCGAGCCCATTCCTACCTCTCACTGAGGTACCTCATCCCCCCTGATTTCATAGCCCTTCACCTCCCTCATGATCCCTTACTTCTCAGATTCCCTCACAGACAGCCCAGCACCCCATCACCTCCGTGTCTACCCTCTCTCCTGGAAGTGCCCTCACACACTTTGCATCCCTCACTTTCCCAGGTGGCAGAGGAGGAGTACCTGCTGCAGGAGCTGCGCAAGATCGAGGCCCGGAAGAAGGAGCGGGAGAAACGCAGCCAGGACCTGCAGAAGCTGATCACAGCGGCAGATACCACTGCAGAGCAGCGGCGCACGGAACGCAAGGCCCCTAAGAAGAAGCTACCGCAGAAAAAGGAGGCTGAGAAGCCGGTGCGCAGGCTCAGCCAGCCCAGCTCAGGGTGGAAGGGTCACCTGGCACAAGGCCCCACACCCGACTGGAGAGTTCTGAGAGCACTCAGTGCTGATGGGGTGGTGGGCCCTCTCCCTACGACACCTTGGTCTCCATAATGCCTTCTCCCCCAGGCTGTTCCTGAGACTGCAGGCATCAAGTTTCCAGACTTCAAGTCTGCAGGTGTCACGCTGCGGAGCCAGCGGGTACGTGAGTTCTCTCATTTAGCATGTTTGGGCCTGGGTTCTCTGCTCTCAGCTCCACAGGGCAGGCAAGTGGAGCTAGAGCCATAAGAGATTGCTACAAAGGTGGCCTCTCCAGAATCTAAGGGATGTGGCCAGACTAAGGTCACAGTTTCACTATATTCATCTTCCTGGCTATTTCCTTTTCTGGCTCATAGTTAACCTCTGTGTTACCGTCTTTTCCACCCCTCTTTCCCACTGCCTTTTGTCCCCTTCATCCTAAGCGTCTTATGGCTGGGAGAGGCTTAGCTTGCCTGGTTTCATTGCAGATGAAGCTGCCAAGCTCTGTGGGACAGAAGAAAATCAAGGCCCTGGAACAGATGCTGCTGGAGCTTGGTGTGGGTGAGTATGGGGACTGGGCCCTATAGGGTGTACCCACCCGAGGCTATGGATACAGGCTGGGCAGGGGGAGGACAGTTCCTGTTGCTGACCCTCTACCACACCTGGGCTCTGCCCCTGTGCTGCCCACTGCCTGCCTGCAGAGCTGAGCCCGACACCTACGGAGGAGCTGGTGCACATGTTCAACGAGCTGCGAAGTGACCTGGTGCTGCTCTACGAGCTCAAGCAGGCCTGTGCCAACTGCGAGTATGAGCTGCAGATGCTGCGGCACCGTCACGAGGCACTGGCCCGGGCTGGTGTGCTGGGGGGCCCTGCCACACCAGCATCAGGCCCAGGCCCGGCCTCTGCTGAGCCAGCAGTGACTGAACCCGGACTTGGCCCTGACCCCAAGGACACCATCATCGATGTGGTGGGCGCACCCCTCACGCCCAATTCGGTAAGAGCCTGGACAGGCTGGGAGGCATGCACATGATGTAGGGGCTCCTCTCCCTTTAGTGCCGCAGCAGGTATCATCCCTTCTGTGCGGGTCTGAGACCCAGGGTAGGAGTGGTTGACCAGTGGGCGTCCTTGTCACTGAGCGTGTGAAACACATGCACCAAGCCTGACTCAGTCCTTGGATGTTCACTGACCTCAACGCCTTCTGTGTCCTCAGAGAAAGCGACGGGAGTCAGCCTCCAGCTCATCTTCTGTGAAGAAAGCCAAGAAGCCGTGAGAGGCCCCACGGGGTGTGGGCGACACTGTTACGTAAATAGAGTTGCTGAGTTGGACCAGACTGCTTCCTTTTCCTTTCTACCACTTCTGATGCTCCTAGTGGGAGGGTTGGGCCAGGAGGGGATTGTCACAGCCACTCCATGGGGTGGCAGGTAGGTTTGCCTGTGTTGAGGTCCTTAGCTCTCTGGCCACTAACCACAACCAGTTTTACCCAAACTCCTGTACCTCAGAGCACCTGTGGTTTACACTCAAGATGACTTTGCATGCAGCCTGTGCTGACAGTCCCCACACTTCCAAAGATGTGTACATATTGAGTGAGAGTGTTACAGGTGCTGCAGTGATGGCCAGTCACACATGGACGGCCTTGTGCACAGAGGCAGTCTGGAGCGTGCTCTACCTACCTTCACGTCCTGAGAGCTTTAGTGCAGCAGCAGCCTCTCACACACACATGGTTTTGCACACACCCCCAGTGCCTCGTTTCCCCGACTTTATTCAGTGGCACGTTCACAGCGGGGATGGGGGTAGACACAAGGTGGGGCCTGATCTGTCCTGGAGCCCTGGGGGCACCACACACCATGCACTATGGATGGGAGGGGGCACAGGGGGGCTTGGTGGCCCCACAGAAGCCTGTGTACCAGGGAGGAGGCGGTGAGTGCCTGGGTCCCCCTAGCCCAGGCCCACAATGGGAGGGGCTGATACTGGGCTGAGATCGAGGGGTGGGGATGGGGGTCACAAAGTGTCTGCTCCAGAAGGGCCAAGTGGCCAAGCCCTTGCCAAGGGCACAAGCCCACAGGGCAGCTGGGGGACACTCTGGATGCAGAGCTATGCCACTCTCCCTCTTCCCCTCTGGTGAGGGAGTAGATGATTCTGGGCTGGGCCAAACAGCTACCCTGTCCTGCCCCATCCTGTCCTTGGCCGATCAGAACGGTTTCGATGTCTGCTTGAAGATGAAGCCTCGGTAGGCGAGTGTCTTCATGATGTTGGCAATGTTCTTGCAGTCGTCTAAAAAGGAGAGAAAACATTTAGATCAGCCCCAGATCCTTCCCCTTCATGCCCACAGGTGCTCTTATAAGGGTGGGGGTGGGAAGCAGGGTCAGATTAAGGAGCCACAGGCTCTAGAGAGGGTGGTCCCATCCCCTGGTGGCAGCATCCCTAGCTTCGGGTTGCGCTGGGTGATGCTGGGCCATCAGGAAGCCTGGTCTCGATGCTTCTCAGTTTCATAATTCATGCTGGAAATTGGCCGGCATGTCCCGCCCTGGCCCCAGTGGTGATGTATGGGCGCCGTCGCAGTAAGAAAAAGGCAGAGTAAATGTGTAATTTCTCCCTTGACGGCCCCCGGCCGCCGGGCGATCCTTCTTGTTGCCGCCGCGTGGGGACGGCCCATCCGCCACACTCCGTCTTCCCGCCACCCGCCTTGATGTCTCCATTTCATTACTGCGCGGCCATTCATCACACCCACGGCCAGGGTGACTTTGCCGGTACTTTCGTGTGTGTGGGAGATGTGACCCAGGCCGTAATCACTGGTGACAAGGCACAAGGCTCGGCACTGCTGGGCCAGGGCCCTGGGAAACACACCTGCCCTGTGTCCTGGGCTTGCCTGGGCACCTGTTCCTGTGCAGCCCTGACAGGATGGGGAGGGTCCAGATTTGTAGTCCTCCTCATAGCAGACACTGCTGTATACATCAGCAAAAGTCCCTTTGTCCCAGTAGGCTCAAAGTGGGTGCTGGTCACTTTTTTGGGCCCTGTTTCTCCCCATACCTCATGTGGAATATGTCTGCATGTGTCAGACTCTCACAAGCAGTTTCTCCAGTATTGGATGCTTTCAGTTGTCCTAGAACCCTGGAGGCTGCAGGATCAGGCCTCTGGGCCCTCAGTATCATGGACATGGGCCAGGATTTGTTCCACCACCACCACCACCACCTGCAGGAGGTGTACCTGCCCAGAGCTTATTCCCCTAGAGGAAGCCTAGGAGAAAGAGCCTGAGTGCCCGAGTTTTTCAGTTCAGCCGCCTACAGCAGCCAACTCATCCCCTCACCTGCCTCTTCTCCACCTCCTTTAGATGCTGCTGCTGGGCCATAACCAGGGCCTCCATCACCACCAACCTTCATAGGATCGATGCCGTGATTGTAGAAATATTGTACATCAATGTCATAATCAAGCATGGGGGGTAGTAAGGTCAAGGTGGGGTCAGGAAACCTCTGCATGTCAAGGCCCACCCTTGCCAGGACCTTAGCCTAGGAAGGGGGACCCTCCAGCACTAGCAAAGGGCAGAGGGAGGGTCAGCCCAGGCCTTTTATCACTAGCCAGATCCTAGCTCTGCAAAGCCTGCTTTGAGCAGGCAAGTCAGACGGTCCTGTCTTACAAAGCTCAGCGTGGATGTACCTGAAGTGGATGTGGGCATGGAGAGGTGACACCTTCCCCCAGGGACTCTGGAAGCCATAAGGGCTGGTCTGAGGCAGAACAGTGGGAAGACAGATGGGTGGGTAGTGGCGGCCATGGCAACTCCAGACGTGACCCATCCCCGTGGTTTATGGGCCGGACACGCGCCCCGCTCAGCTGAGGCCCCATCATTTGTCTCTCTTAGTGTGTGTGCCTGTGCAGTGGGGGTAGAGGGTGGAGGAGGGAGGGGCTGTGCTAGGCAGTTGACAGGAAGGGGAATGGGACAGGAAAGGGCCTCAGAGAGGGAGGGGTTAGGATGGGAACCATGGGCTGTGATGGTGCCAATAGAGGGACTATGATAGGGTGATTTTCTTCCCAAATAAGTCTGGCCCTGTCAGGGTACCTCCAATCCTTCCTGTCTCCTGCACCCTAGGGACCATGGCCTCTGTGCATATTAAGAATAAGTCCCCTCGTTATCTGCAATTACCCAGCGGCCACACACCTCATTTCTTCCAGCAGAAAAGAAAATTAGTTTTCTATTGACTTCATCTGGCTCCTCCCTCATTGCTGGACATATCGTTCAATTTGCTTCCCCTGGCCCAAGTGACTGTCCCAGCCCCAACCTCCAGGTCACCAGCGATCCAGTGGGCAAGCACTGATCTCCCACCTGTGCCTGGCCCTGTGCTGGGAGAAGGTCCTCATGTCCCAGTCTCTGTCCTTGACCTCTCCCCACTCTACACACCGGATAACTTCATCTAATTGTGAGTTTCAGCTACCGCCTGAAGATCACGGTCTCCAGCCTAGACAGCTTCTGGGCTTCACTCCACATAATCCTGAATATTCTCTTTCTAGATAAACAAACTCAAAACGTCTAATCATGAGCTAATTTCCTCCCCAAGAGGCTTCTTACCCATCTTGCCATGTTCTCCATCCCAGTGAATGGCACCATAGTCCACCCAAAATGCCCAAAGAAGAAACTTGAGAGTCATGTTGCCACTCTGCCCTCACTCTCCAAATCCAAGTAAGTATGAACTTCTGCAGATTTTCTCTTATTCTCTGCCTAATTATCTCGGATTACAACAGCCTGTCCTCTTTCTCCCTTGAATTCATTCCTATAGCCAAAGTGATCTTTCTTACATAAATCTGATCACGTTCTTCCTCTTGAAAGCCATTCTGGCTCTCCTTGCCCTCAGTTTAAAGTCTTCACTTCTGTATTATGTCTTAAAGGCTCTGCAAAAATTGATCCCTGCTATCTCTGGTTTCTGCCATGATCAACCCTCAATCCCTGGACTCCAATCTCAGGACCCACTCACTGTTTTCTAAAAATGGCAAGGTGAGTTTTGGAGCCAGACATGTTGCCAATCTTTTTTTTTTTTTTTTTTTTTTTGAGACGGAGTTTCGCTCTTGTTACCCAGGCTGGAGTGCAATGGCACGATCTCGGCTCACCGCAACCTCCACCTCCTGGGTTCAGGCAATTCTCCTGCCTCAGCCTCCTGAGTAGCTGGGATTACAGGCACGCGCCACCATGCCCAGCTAATTTTTTGTATCTTTAGTAGAGATGGGGTTTCACCATGTTGACCAGGATGGTCTTGATCTGTTGACCTCGTGATCCACCCGCCTCGGCCTCCCAAAGTGCTGGGATTACAGGCTTGAGCCACCGCGCCCGGCCACCAATCTTAACTTCACCCACTGGCTGCATAACACACAGCAAGGGCTTAGCGTCTCTAAATACTTAGGTTCCTCCACTAGGGTGATAATGGCCTTGCTGTTATTGTGAAGACCTAACAAGGTGTTGCACCGTCTTTGCACATGCTGTTCTTTATGCTTGGATTACCTCCTCTTTCTGAAGAAAAGGCAAGGAAGCTAGTTTTCTGGAGGATTCAGTGGCGAGAAAGTGTAAACCATACAACTGATAGCACAGATGACTGATAGGGGCTGGCAGACTTGGTGAAACCAATTGGCATTCACTCCAAATTCTGACTACAGATCCTGTTTATTGGGTATTTCTGGAGTCTAACTTGTTGCAATTGGCCCACTATAATATAGAGAGGCCAGGGAAAGGAAGAAATTTGCTCTGGTTCTCCTAGCAAATCAGTAGAATGGCAGTCATGGGCTTCCAGCCATAGGCTCTTTTTCCAGCCCAAGAAGCCTTGATGAGAGTCCATGCAAACTACTGTTTTTTTTTTGTTTTTTTTTTTTTTTTTAAGTCTATGGCCCTGCTATAAAGTGAGGAAACTTGGCAGAAGCAGCACTAGAGACAGATCTGGGGCCTTTAATAGACCAAAAGTTCAGAGAGAGAGTGCAGCAGGGGGTGAGTCTGGTGGCAACGCAGTCTCTTGCAAAGTTTTCTGCTTGAAGCTCTGAGGGCTACTTGGGTTAGCAGGCTTGTCTTCCAGCACCTCTCATTTAGCTAAGGAGGCCAGCATGAAGCTGCTGTAGGGTGGGAGTAGGGTTGCAGGGAGCACAGCCCTGCACCCACAACAGAGGCCTCCAAGAGTAGGTCTTCCTCATCTTCAAATTCTAGAAGGCTAACCTTTGGTTCTGTTTTGTTTTGAGACAGTCTCGCTCTGTCACCCAGGCTGGAGTGCAGTGGAGTGATCTCAGCTCACTGCAACCTCTGCCTCCAATTCTTGTACCTAGGCCTCCCAAAGGGCTGGGATTACAGGTGTAAGCCACTGTACCTGGCCAGGCTAATCTGTTTTTATGTTTCTGCAGGATCATCAATTTGTGACAAGATGACCCTCTCCTCTTCTTTTTTGGAGCATTAATATTCTCAATGTTGGAAATATTTTTTTATTGCCAAGACCATAATGTGAGGAGTACAGCTGCATAAATCCCTCAGAAAAGATTAGTGGGGGTAGCACCTAACAAAGAAGGATCAGCTTGTTGGCCGGGCCCAAGGACAGTCAAATGTCTGCCTGACAAAGAACCTGCACACAGGAGAGTCGCTCATATCACTTAGGACACCCAGAAAGAGCTCACAAAGGGCAAACAACCTAAGGCTGATATTCTTTATTAGTGGCACTTACCTGGGAACTGAGTGGTAGAGGACAGGAAGCAGGGCCTGGGCTACGGAGGCCCTCAGGAGGAAAGGGACCCAAGAAGTTGGAGGTTCATTCATTCAGCAAACATGCATTGACACCTGTGTGCTCAGTGATCTTGTACTATACTGCTTCTGAGGGATGTGCAAGACTCTGTAGCTCCCTGCCCTCAAGGAACTCAAAGACAGCTCTGTCAGGGGTGCAGTGTTATGAGAAAAGCACACATAGAAAAGTCATCTCGTTCTGTTTAAGAATCAGAAAAAGATTCCAAAGTTAAGGAGAGGTCTTCGGGAATGGGAGAGGAAGCTAGCCCAGCCAGTTAATATTGGGGTGAGGAAGATGTTCTCAGCATAATAGTATAGGCACATTTATGGAAGTGAAATGTGGAGTGTCCAAAAAATAAATAAGTTTATCAGATGGGTGGCAGGAGAAGGAATGAAGAATCAGAAGGGAGTAGCAAGAGATGAAGCTGGTGGTCAGTGAATGACTAAAGGGGATCCTGAAGAACTCAAATGCTAAACTAAGGAGCTTAAGATGTTATTATTCTGAGAATGATGGGTAGATATTTACATGTTTAAGGAG